TTAATCAAAAGGTTAAAGGTTTAAGTTGGACCTACGTCTTTTGATGTGGTCATAATCATTGATTTATAGCTTTTTTCCCCCATCTCATGTATTCCTAGCATAAAGCACCATCTTGTGGTCGTAGATGTTTTTGTTCTTCATATGCTGCGAGGGAATGATTCTATTGGCCTTAACCAGTGTGATCGGTTGTAGTGTTTTGGGTGAAAATGGTCAAAGAAGAGTCACGGAAGCTTATTAAGGAGAGAACAAAAGCGACTACTCATAGAATCTTACCGTTGGAAAATACAATAAAACGTCACCTAAAAGATAAAAGAGACAAAATAAAGAATTTAAAGTACCAAAAGACTCAAAAAAAACTTTTAGTATACGAACACTTTCACTTGTTTTAACCATTTTGTATAACATCAAAACATCAACATTTTGATTAATGTACAACACACCAATGAGTGTGGTTTTGGAATTTGTTTTTTCCTCCTACTTATGTGTGCCAATAAATTAACTTCTATTATAATATTATCATATAAAAACACTTAAGAATGATGAATAATGAATGAGCCAAAAATGAAATAAAAGACAACAAAGATGATCATTTTTTTTATATAGATTAGTATAGTAAGGCAGGGGCTACACAGATGCATTATAAAGCATAAACACACTTGGAAACAATAGGAAATTACAAGTGAGAAGAAGTTAAAAGTCTTCCACCGATCTTTTCAGTTGCATTAATAAAACATTCAGAACCCGAGAACGCTTTTTTCTTCTTTCTTTCCTGCCAAAAGTATTACTCTGAGACCATTCTACTCTAAAACCCTCTTCTTAATTCTCTCTCTTCTTCCTTCTCTGCTTCTTCTGAGATACGCTTCTCTACTCCCATGGAGCTTTAATGGGTCTCTGCAGTTTCCACTCTTTTCCACTTTTCTTCTGAGAATTTCAGCTCAAGAGTCATGGATGAGTCTTCTCTTGTGCGTTTTGCGTTTCTGCTCTGTTTGGTTTCGTCCGCTGTGTTCTGTATTAATGACTCTGACCATAACGCTACCGCTTCGTCTGGTGTTTACATTGTCACTCTCAAGGACCGTCCATCTGTTCATTTCTCCGGCAGTGAAACTGGTGGCTTCAAACACAACCTTACCGCTTCTTCATCTCAAATTTACAGAACAATGTATGTAGAAAAATGTTACCTTTCTCTTTCTTATCTTTCTCTCTTCAAAGTTTCTATCTTTCTCTAGGGTTTGATTTCGTCTCTCAGAATTTCGTGGAATCGCTGTTGATTTGCGGCGGGAGGCTTTGGTCTTTTTCTCAATCTTTGTAGTCCGACATATGTTGAAAATTCGTCAATTTTGGGTCCCAGATTACTTGTCTCTTGTGTCTTTGGTCTTTTCCTGAAAGCCTCAACGGATATAAAGGCATGCCTGTTGAGTTTGTGCTCCAAGTTGAAACCTTTATACTGTTAGACGAAGCTTATACATTAGTGTCTGATTGATGATCCTTGTCTCTTTTACTTATAGGAACCGAAGCGCTTCTATTATTAGAGTTCATGATTCATTGCTGAGAAAAGTATTGAGAAAAGAGAATTATCAAAAGCTGTACAGCTACCACTATCTCATTAATGGGTTTTCGGCAGTTCTTACCCGAAAGCAGGTACTCACATTTGTCTAAGAATCAAATTATGAATGTCCAAATTTTAGAGTTTGTTTATTGTTTTGAGCTCATGAGTCTGAAATCTGGTTTCTGGTTTAGGCTGATAGACTTGCGGCTAGAGAAGAAGTGGAGAATGTAGTTGTGGATTTTCCAGTTGAGAAAGCAACTACTCATACACCGCAGTTCTTAGGTTTGCCGCGTGGAGCTTGGCTCCGTGATGGAGGCTCTGAGTATGCAGGAGAAGGAGTTGTTATAGGGTTTGTTGATACTGGAATTGATCCCACTCATCCTAGTTTCAGCGACAAAATCGCGGGGCATACATATTCGGTGCCTCCTCGGTTCAAAGGTGTCTGTGAAGTTACCATTGGTTTCCCGCCCGGTTCTTGCAATAGGAAACTCATTGGAGCACGCCATTTCGCTGAGTCTGCTCTCAGTAGAGGTGTCTTGAATTCGTCTCAAGATGATGCTTCCCCATTTGATGGTGAAGGGCATGGCACGTAAGTGTATATAACCCACTCAAATGCTGATTAACTAATTAGCTACCAAATAGTTAAGGCTGATATTAGTTGATTTGTTCAGGCACACAGCTTCTGTTGCAGCTGGGAATCACGGGATCCCGGTGGTAGTTGCGGGTCATCACCTTGGAAATGCTAGCGGGATGGCCCCTCGTGCTCAGTAAGTCAATACCATAGAGTGATGTTCACTTTGGAAACAATATATAGATAAATTAAAAGTCTTCTTGTTTCTTGTTAGTATTGCTATTTACAAGGCATTGTATAAGAGGTTTGGAGGTTTTGCAGCAGATATCATTGCAGCCATAGATCAGGTAAAAAAGTGTTACCTTTGAAACTGGAACTGTGATGAAACAGTTTTTCTTATGTTTGACAATGGTTATGGATGTGTTCTTTTGCAGGCGGCTCAAGATGGAGTTGACATAATAAACCTATCAATCACACCAAATAGACGTCCTCCTGGTATTGCTACATTCTTCAACCCAATCGATATGGCATTGCTTTCAGCTGTGAAAGCCGGGATCTTTGTAGTGCAAGCAGCTGGAAACACAGGACCAGCTCCTAAGACCATGTCTTCCTTCAGTCCATGGATCTTCACAGTAGGAGCTACATCTCATGATAGAGTATATAGTAACTCGATAATCCTAGGAAATAATCTCACTATTCCTGGAGTTGGACTCGCATGTAAGTCCATCTTTGTTTATAGCTTTGCTTCTTCTTTCTTGATTTCCTCCTCGAACTGACCTTACCGTTTCTCATTTTTTACTAGCTGGTACAAGAACAATGCACAAACTTATTTTAGCTGCACATGCACTTGGAAATGGTACAACTGTTATGGATGCTATATATGTTGGGGAATGCCAAGATTCAAGTAGTTTCGATCAGAAGCTGGTGCAGGGAAAAATTCTTGTCTGCAGTTATACTGTTCGATTCATTTTAGGTGTCTCAACTATCAAACAAGCCTTACTAACAGCTAAGAACTTAACAGCAGCAGGCCTTGTCTTCTATATAGATCCTTCCGCTACCGGTTTTCAGATGACTTCAACTCCGATGGATATCCCGGGAATTCTAATCTCCTCTCCTCAAGATTCTCAGGTATAATCAAAATCTTAAACTGCAAAGTATTCTAGTTCACTCTGAACAGGAATGTAACTTAGCTCTTAGTTTACATGTACACACTAACAGGAATGTAATTAGCTCTTCCTATGGTTTACAATGCAGGCTTTACTCCGGTACTACAATTCTTCTCTGTTGAGGGAAAATGGTTCAGGCAAAATTGTTGGATCTGCGTCGGCTGCGAGAATAGTTGGTGGAATGAAGCCTACCTATGGCATTACAGCTCCTAAGGTCATGTATTTCTCTGCTAGGGGACCTGACCCAGAAGATGATTCTTTTGTTGATGCTGATATAATGAAACCCAACTTAGTAGCTCCAGGAAACGCGATATGGGGAGCTTGGAGTCCGCTTGGCATTGGTACAACAGATTTTCAAGGTACACATATCCTCATTTCTCCTTATAAGACTTCCCATTCTGTGTTTCTATTAGTCTTTTTGAGCTCTTAAATTGGTGGTATCTAGGGGAGCGTTTCGCGATGGAATCGGGGACAAGCATGTCTGCTCCACATGTAACAGGTATTGCGGCGCTCATCAAGCAGAAGTTCCCACATTTCACTCCTGCAGCCATTGCATCCGCACTTTCAACAACAGCTTCTCTATCAGACAGAAAGGGTGGGCATATAATGGCACAACGCACTGTCTTAAACCCCGACATCAGTCAGTCCCCTGCAACACCTTTTGATATGGGTAGTGGATTCGTCAATGCAACTGCAGCTCTTGACCCTGGTTTGATTTTCGACATAGGTAAATATGGTTTCTTGAACCCACAATGCTTTGTTTTTTAAACCTTGAGCATATGAAATAGGAGAAACGCTCACTTAAAAACAACTTTTTGAACAAACTCAGTTCAATTAATAAGAGATCAACTACTGATATGAAGTATTACTGCAAATGTAGGTTACAATGAATACATGAAGTTTCTCTGTGGCATCAATGGATCATCTCCTGTTGTTCTGAATTACACCAGTGAAAGCTGCTCGGCGTACAACTCCTCCCTTGCAGCCTCTGACTTGAACCTACCCTCGGTCACAATAGCTAAGCTAGTTGGTACTCGAACCGTCCTAAGATGGGTCACTAATATTGCAACCACGGCTACAAACGAGACATATACAGTCGGTTGGATGGCTCCGGACTCAGTCTCAGTTAAGGTCTCACCTGCCAAGTTTACAATCCGAAACGGGCAGACACTGGTCTTGAGTCTTGTCCTCCGAGCGATGAAGAATGTTTCGGTGGCAAGTTTTGGGAGAATTGGGCTGTTTGGAGATAGAGGTCACATTGTTAACATTCCGGTGGCAGTCATCTACAAGATTGCTGTCTGAAAAATAGGTTGTGATATGCAGAGTTTTTTTTAGTGTGATGATGAAACAAACTTGAAAGGGTTGATTAAATTCGTTTCCTTTGTCTTTTTTGGGGGTTAGTTAATGTATGTTTTTGTGCTAAAAAGCGTTAGAGAGATTCGTAGTTTGTAAATGTGTTTGGAATGATGAAGTTGGTTGAATTAATCTCACTAATCCAATCTTTTGATTCTTGTTTCTGTGTATTTTATATTGAATTAGTCTCCTTCTTGAATCCAAAGCTTTGTATCCCCATAGTGGTTAATTACCCAAACGCAACGAAACAAAAAAAATAAAGTACAAGGTACAATATATAATCAAGGGGTAGTTTCGTCATTAGCTTTAAATATATAAACAAGAGTTAAAATTTATTTTGAGGGTTTCGTGGATCCATCGAACCCCTCTGTTGTTGTTCTTCTTCTGCCATAGCCAACACAGAGAAGAAGAAGGCGTTGGAGAATCATACAAAGCTTAAACCTTTCGCGTTTTACCTGTCCTAATTCACGGGTTCGGATAAATTTCTGAAACTTTGGTGAAATTTGCTATCTTCTGGTACCTAAGCTGCGTAGCCAAGTGAAGCAGAGCAAGTACAATTTTTCATCGTAGTGAGGTCGCTAACCTTTGTTTCTAGTGGAATTTAGTTTTGATTTGAAAAACAAATTGTTTGGGCTTATACATAATCTACTGTTAATTATTTTTTTCTTTCTTTTTATTGAATTTTTTTCACTAATTCGTCATCCCCATTTGAAAAAGCTCTTTACTTTTCTACTCTCTGCATTTTGATGGATTGTTTTGTATTTAAGTAGGTGAGATTAAGGAGACTCTTGGCCAAATTTTGACGTAGCAGTTCCTGTTGCAATGGACAACACTGAGGATAGTGACACCGAATCGGTGTATGTCGTTAGAAAAGCGCTTGCATCTGTCCAAAATGTAAGTGTTGCACAAGATGTTGCATATGTGTGTGTGTTATCTTTTGTAATGGTCGTGTTCTTTAAAAGTGTTTTCTTTTATCTAATCCAGGGGGATACCGACCATTATACTCAGCTTATTGGAATGATGTACCCTAAATATTCTGATATCGATGCAGTGGCACAGCTTGAGGTGTGTCTTTTTCCTCCCTCATTTGGCAATTCAATTCTTGTTTTGATTTTTTTGTTGCTAAAATATCTTCATTTTCATTCTTATTGCAGACACTCTTGAAAATTCTATCATGTTCTGTTGCTTTCATAGATGTTGTTCACCATCGAGATCTTCTTTCTAATGTAAGTTCTTTTTGTATGAGCTTATAGTGTATCCCTATATACTTTTTTGATACAGGCCCTTGTCCCCATCCTCTGAATTTAATCCCATTAATTGTGATTAGATTTTCACGATGAGCCTGTGGAATCACAGACCTAATGTCATGGATGCATTGGTGGACCTAATCATATCACTGGTATACAGCTTAGCAACTACCCTTCATGTCAATGAATATATAAGCTAGTTGAAGAGATTAACATTTAGTGCTTTTGTTGTTTCCCATCATTAGGCTGCTACTAGTGGAAAATATCTGGACCTTTGTTTGAATATGCTCATAAGTAATTTTATTCCACCTCCTTCTGTGACGCCCAGAAAGAATCAGGAAGTTCTTCCGCGGGTGCATGCAGCCCTTCACAAGATTTCTTATCTAATTCCTCTTGCTCCCTCAAAATTAGTGCCCATACTTGCGCAGAGAATGCCTAAAATTCACATCAAGGGCCAGGACTCTGTAAGTTTTTTTTTGGGTTAAAATTTACACTGTAATAGTGAGCTTCTATTGGCGGTTAACAAATTGTGAACTATCTTATTTTCTTGTAGCTGATAGTGACATTGACATATGTGGATAACCTGTTGAAGTTGGAGAACAGTCCAATCGGAAAAGTTGTTGGCAGCATGATTCTTATGGTGGTCATGGAGAGGATGCGAGATTTGGATGTAAGTAGATGTAAATTGTTTATACAAATGTAGCCTCTACGGTAAGTGAATGATATGCTGGAGATCTTTGTAGTTGGAAATTGAATGGGATGATATTCTCCAAGAGGACTCTAACAGAGGCATGTTTGATATGGAACTTGAAGATGCAGTTGAAAGCACTATGAATGAAGGAGACGAGGTAAGGGTTAGTGTAATTTTTGCTATCTATGCAGAGTCCATAAACATAACTCTATTTAGTAATGATCGGAAGTTGCTAGATTACAAGATGCCATTTTCTTTTACTAAATGTTGGACATGACGTTTGGTGTCTTGGTGAAGCTATCATTCATAAATTTGAAACCTTTTTACAGTTTCCTGTGGGGGCTCTATATCAATATACGTCAGATGGAAATGTAGTCTCTGAGCTGTTGGACAGATTGATGGTCCTATCTTTTAAGCATCTAAAATCCTGTAAAAACTCTGGTCGTTTGGATGAGGTATGGCACCAAATGGTACTTCATCAACATATTTTTCCTTTCTTTTGTGTTAGATTCATTAATATTTTGGTGGTCCTGTTTGAATTCCTCTTTGAAATAGGTATTTGAAATCCTCTTTGAGTCGTTTGAGAACTACGTTCTGAACACGTACAAATCAAAATTTTCCCAGGTAGGCATCAAAGAATCACCTTACATACTATAAACTTCTTCATTGTAGGCTTCTAGTACTCTAGTTCATTCTCGGAATTAGACTGACTTTACTTTCATCCGCAGTTTCTGATGTTCTACGCGTGCTCACTAGATCCTGAAAATTGTGGTGTGAAATTTGCCAGCAAGCTGTTGGAGATATATCTCTCCAGCAATAAACCTCGACTTACTAGGCGAGTTTCATCTTATTCTACGTGGTAAAGATTTCTCTGCATGATATTAAGCTAATACTGTTCTAACCAGCACTTGTATATGCTTTTGTTTCCTCCCTGTACTTTCAACAGGATGAGTGCAGTGGCTTATCTAGCTAGCTACTTGTCTCGTGGAAAGTTTTTGCCTCCTTCTTTTGTGGCTAGCATGTTGAAAAGGTACAGATAGACCATTAAAAATGGACATGTAATTGTTTGATCTGATTCAAGTTTCACTTTTTGCTGAAATTTTAGATTGGTGGACGAGTGTGCGGAATATTGCAGAACATGCAACGATGATATGAAGCCAAAAGCACATCAGGTGTTCTATTCTGGATGTCAGGTATAGTCTAAGTTTAAGACCAGCTTATGGCTTTTTATTCCATAAGAACTCTTCTGTGAAAATCATTGACGTCTCTAGTGACTAATCCTTGTTAACCTTCTTACCCTTACCAGAAGCTTATCGGCATTTAGGATTATATGCTATTATGTCATGTATCACTTAAAGTTGTTACTTTTCTGTGGATGTAGGCAATCTTGTATGTCCTATGTTTCCATATGAGATCCATCCTCGACATTCCTCGCTTTCAGTCGCAACTTACATCATTGGAGTCAATTTTATCTCACAAACTAAACCCATTGATGGTGACTCTCTTATGATTTTCTTATCATCATAGCTCAACTGTTATTTTCAGTGGTCTTAATTAGAAGTATCAAATGCATTGAGCTTGCACCATTTGTTTTGCGTGAACAGGTGTGCCTTCCGTCTGTAGTTTCCGAGTTCCTTAAACAATCGAAAGCTGGTGGCCTGTTTGTTGTCTCAGAAGCCTTCATTTTCGATGACCTACAGGAGTCTGAGCTGTCTCGTGCTTTTGGTGGTTTTGAAAGGCTTGACACATTCTTCCCGTTTGACCCATGCTTGTTGAAAATGTCTAACAGGTTACTATCTTTACTCCTGTTATATATATTTTTTTCTCTAGTACGCACAAATCAAATAGAGAATCTCATATAAGTTTCTCACTGGATTTACCCGACTTGGGAATATTTGGATGCAAATTCTCCTGCATATATCGGATGACATTGGAAATTATGTTTAATATGATAAAATGTCGGATGAATCACAGTGTATAGCTTTACTCTCTTTCTCACACGTTTTCTTGTCAATTCTTGAAGGTATATCTCCCATAACTTCAACTCCTGGACTTATAATGACGAGGAGCTTTGTGCTGAGGTCATAGTGAATACTGATGCAGAGAGTGAGGAGAACAGTGACGATGACGTTGAAGTTGATAACGAGATGTCTCTAACTCCTAAACACTGTTTCATGCGAGAAACAAAGAGGCTCTTGAAGATGCCTTCAAGAATCAGACCATCCACTAGTCCTCCTGAATCCTTCAGAATCTTCTAATGGAGAGAGGGAATGCAGTTTTGCTAATTAGGTTTCTTATTACAGTCTCTTATGCTTAGTATGTAAAGTCTAAAAAAAATAAAAAAAAGTGAGATGTTGGGGATGATTATGATTAATAAATTTTCTGCGAGTTTGTAGCAAATTTCTGAAGAACATATCTATGAAGTAGAATTTTGCCAGTTGGTTTAATTAATCTTTAACGTACAGTTAAGTGACTTTAATTACTCGGTTTGGGGTTCAATTTGGTTTACTTTGTCCACGGTTAGTTACAGTAGCTTTTTTAAAATGTCACGCAATGGTTCGAGTTAAACCAGTAAATGTCTCTCCGATTTAGACCGGTCCGTGAACCAGGTGACCCAATCTCCACTTAACCTCACTACCTCTCCTCAGCATCGGCGTCTTTGTAGCTTTCTTCAGCTTTCTTAATTCAGCAAAAACCCTAGAATCTCTCTGCTTCGCTTCACTTTCAAGCTCGAAACTTTGAGAAAGATGCCTCCGAAAGCCAAAGCTAAAGATGCAGGTCCCGTAGAGAGGCCTATTCTTGGCCGTTTCTCTTCTCACCTCAAGATCGGAATTGTAATTCTTCTCTCTTCATCTCTCTTAACTATTTGAATCCAAGTTGATTCATTTCGAATGGTGAATGAATGATTTGCTCATCGCAATATTTTCATCGACAGAAGTGTGTTTTTTTAATTTCTTCTGAGTTTTGCCTGGTGGAGATCTGTTAACCCATTCCTACAGAGGAGTGATGCATGAGGATATTGTTTGTGTTTGTCACTGTGCTCATTTAGCTGGTTAATCCATTTTTTTTTATAGAAACTGCTTCTTTGATACAGGTTGATTGTAGAATTCATGGTTGATATGGTGATATTGAGAATCATATCTTGTAACTCACCATGGGATTTTTTTGTGGCATCGCAGGTTGGACTACCAAATGTTGGAAAATCTACTCTTTTCAACACTCTTACAAAGCTTTCAATTCCAGCTGAGAATTTCCCCTTTTGTACCATTGAGCCTAACGAGGCACGTGTGAATATCCCCGATGAGAGGTTTGATTGGCTTTGCCAAACGTACAAGCCAAAGAGTGAGGTAAGTTTGTAGCTTTAGTTCATGACTTGCTGTTACTGTAGAGATTACTACCTGAGTTACTCCCATGAATGGGCTTGTTCTTCAAGCTGACTTCTGTCTATTTTGATACCTCAGGTTCCAGCTTTTTTGGAAATTCATGACATTGCTGGGCTTGTTAGAGGAGCTCATGAAGGACAGGGACTTGGAAACAACTTCTTGTCCCATATTCGTGCAGTTGATGGAATCTTCCATGTTTTACGTATGATTTTTCCCTCTTTTTTTCTTACTCCTAGTGCCAGCTTAGTTTTTAGAGGGACTCATGGTTGAAACGGTGATTTGATGAATAAGTTAGACTGCACATGCTGCTTCTGCTGTATTGAGTTCCTAAACGAGAGACTGGTAAAAAAATTTGTATTTCATTTGCTACGTTAGGCTCATTGCAATAATTAGTTTATGTTTTCCTCTCGAATGCATCTTCTGTGTATCTGATCCTGAACTATACAGATATTTTTTTTATGGTTGATGATTATAATATATGTTGGCAATTCTATTGTGGTCAGTGACTTTTCGTTTGAACATATGCAGGTGCTTTTGAAGATGCTGATATTATCCATGTCGATGATATCGTGGATCCTGTTAGAGATTTGGAGACCATTACTGAAGAATTGCGACTAAAGGTGAATCAAATCTCTAACAGATATTGCTGCGATATCTCCGAACTCGTGAATCCATTCTGTTATTAATGTAGTTATCTGTATCTCGTATTAGTTAGATCTTGTTATTCATTTCATTCAGTGCTGTTTTGGTTTCATACTGAATTCTTTGGTGGAACTTTAGGATATTGAATTCGTTGGAAAGAAGATTGACGATGTCGAGAAGAGCATGAAGAGGAGCAATGACAAGCAGCTAAAAATAGAACTTGAGCTCTTGCAAAAGGTATGCTTATGAATTAACAACCATGCAGTCTTGTTCTGTGAATGTTATTGGTCATTAATTAAAATTTTTGCTGAAAAATGACTGTACCTCTCTGGTATAGGTAAAAGCTTGGCTGGAAGATGGAAAGGATGTCCGTTTTGGGGACTGGAAAGCAGCTGATATTGAGATTTTGAACACTTTCCAATTGCTTTCTGCAAAGCCTGTTGTTTACTTGGTGAGTAGTCTTGAATTGATCTCTTTATTGAACTGTCTTTTCTATTTTTTGCTTCTTTTTGATATCTATAATTGGCAATGCTGCTCCATCAATTTTTTTTGTGGGTCAGTTTACACTTTACAATGTAGAGGCATATTATCTATTTTGTCTAACACTGTTTGCTCACAAAGTTAACCATAATGTATTCATTAGCCTTTTCTGATGCCTGTGTTTTCATGTTTTTTCAACTCAATGTTTCACCTTAGCGTAAGAATTCGAAAGACATGATGTTTGTTGGATAACTGACTGCTCTCAATAAATTACAGATTAATATGAATGAGAGAGACTACCAGAGGAAGAAAAACAAGTTCTTGCCGAAGATTCATGCCTGGTACTTATCTATCCCTTCACAAACTATGTTGAATAATAAGTCAAAACATTTTACCCTGCTGTTGCTACAAAAGTTTCTTCTGTGTGGATGTGCTGACACATTTACTTACCTTATTCTGTTTGATCGTCATGTAGGGTTCAAGAACATGGTGGTGATACTATGATTCCTTTCAGTGGTGTTTTTGAAAGGACTCTTGCTGATATGGCCCCAGATGAAGCAGCAAAGTATTGTGAGGAGAACAAACTGCAAAGGTTAGTTTTAAGACAACGGCATAGCCTTGCAAGTGAAAAGTTGCTCCTAAAGATGATTTTCTTCGTGAGCCTGTTAAATTGAATCTAATGGCCATTGCTACTGTGACAGTGCTCTTCCAAGGATCATCAAAACTGGATTTTCAGCTATTAACCTCATATATTTCTTTACAGCAGGGCCTGATGAGGTATTAACAATGCTACTTTACTAGTAATTTATTTGGCTTCACTACACTTTGTAGTCTCTAATCTCTACTCTCTATTTCTCTGTGATGTTCCTTTAAGCATTTTTTTTCTGTAATGAGCTACTTGATATTGTATGGTCAATGTAAAGTGTCAAGTAGTGTATTTTTTTTTTGGAATTTGATAATTTGTAAGTACATCCATCAATGGTACTTTGATTTTCAGGTGAAGTGCTGGCAAATCCGACGGCAGTCAAAGGCTCCTCAAGCTGCAGGGGCCATTCATACTGATTTTGAGAGAGGATTTATTTGTGCCGAGGTTGCCTTTCTTCTCATTTCTCTTGAATCTTGGTCAATTCACTATTTTTATAGACTTTTCCCTACAGGTTTTGATGATTTGCTCAGTTAAGGAGTTTATATAATATTTATTATGTTTATCCCCACACAAAGAAGGCTTGCAAATTCTCATATTCATCTTTGTGTTTTCCTATTAATGATTTGGATCTATGCAGGCCTGTAGATATCAAAGCAGAAACCTAATGCAAAACATTATAGATTTTTCAATTTTTTTACCAAATCAATTGGTTATCTGATTTGTCTATTTTGAAACTTATTCCAATGTTAATACTACAGGTCATGAAATTCGAGGATCTCAAGGAACTTGGCAATGAACCTGCAGTCAAGGTACTTGTCTATAACTTCTTTTCCGCCTCCCTTCTCTTAAGGTCTCCCAAGTGAGTAGCCTCTAGATACTGAATATGAAGGTGTTAAGGAAACTCTCCATTATGTGATAGAATCCTCTCTGAAGATGGCATGGTTGAATAAATCGCATGCTGACCATAATTTCTATAGTTCCTGGAGTTAACAGTTAAGTCTATCCTTTCAACTAATGCAGGCCGCAGGAAAATACAGACAGGAGGGGAAAACCTATGTTGTTCAGGACGGAGACATCATTTTCTTCAAGTTCAATGTTTCTGGTGGTGGGAAGAAATGAGATCCATCTGTCTACCTATTTGCGGTATCCTCTCTGGATCTCAAAGCTCTATCCAGTTCCGAGAGAGGAACCGAACTGTATTTTCTGTTCTGAAAGTTACAGATTTTGAGTGGCTTTACCAAACAAAAAAATATTTTGTAACTCTTGGTTCTTTTTTATTTTCAATTTAGCTAAGACATGTCTTTTACCTTGAGACAGAGCATTAAGCCTACTATATCGTTTACAACTCTATCAATAAGTTTTGTTCTCCACTTTTTTGAAACCGCAAGTGATTTGAATCCAAATTTGTGATAAAAGGACTTGTATCTTCTAATGAAAGTGGAATCCTTAGAAGAAACCCTTATCACAGAAACCAGTCTATCATTGTTCTCGTTCAGATTAAAGGGAAACAAATAAATACCTTAAAGAATAGATTATATTTGCAAATGTCACGAAATTACAAGCTCCATTAGTAAGAGCTTCTGAATAGAGATCATTAAAAATTAAAACAAAAGAACAAAAGAATTATTTTGGCGTTGGTCAAACCAGTAGCTTCCTCTACGCTAAGTTGTGAAGAGTTGATCTTGTTAGGCTCTTCTCAGTTTCTGAGGAATCTTGATTGGAACAGGCTTAAAGAGTAAAGCTCTCTGGCGTTTCTTCTACTGCTTGGCTGCTCGAAAACGAGTTTTCTCCATTCTGTTTGCGCAGCCAAGCTTCATGAAGCTGCAAAACATACTCCAAGCTCCACAAAACTTCTCCCATCATTGGCCTGTTCTTCCCTTCATCCGCTAAGCACTTCTCTGCTATCTCCCCATACTTCTCCAGAGATTCAGGACTGTAGATTCCCCTCAGATTTGGGTCGATGATGGACTCCAGAGATCTCTGTTTTTGCCAGCTTAAAGCCCATTCCGCAAGGTTGATCTGGTCTTTAGGCAAAGTCGGGTTTATAACAGCTCGAGCACAAACAGCTTCGAACAACACAACACCAAAAGAGTAGACGTCTGACTTCTCTGTTAACTGTTGCCTTCTAAAGTATTCAGGATCAAGATAGCCAAAACTTCCTTTCACAGCGGTACTTACATGGGTATGGTCCATGGACGGTCCAGCTTTCGACAGCCCAAAATCAGACATCTTTGCCACAAAGTTCTCGTCTAGTAGTATGTTTGTTGTTTTGACATCTCTGTGAATGATTCCTCTCTCAG